ATTCAGTTGTTTCTCTAGCACCATTTATTGACAAGAGTGACAAGAGTGTCCTTTCTCCATCATATTTTTTTTTCTTTTTTTTTTTTTCTTTTAGTACCAGGGATTGAACTCAGGGGTACTTGACTACGAGCCACATCCTCAGCCCTATTTTGTGTTCTATTTAGAGACAAGGTCTCACTGAGTTGCTTATTGCCTAGCAGTTGCTGAGGCTGGCTTTGAACTCGTAATTCTCCTATCTCAGTCTCCCAGGCTGATGGGATTATAGGCATGCACCACTGTGCCTGTTCTTGATATTCTTGGCACTTTTGTCAAAAAATTAGTTGACTATTATGTAAGTACATGGATTTATTTCTGGGTTCTGTATTCTGTTCCATGGTCTCTCTGTTGGGGTCTTTTGTTTGTTTTTGTTTTGATACTGGGGATTGAACCCAGGGGCACTTAACCACTGAGCCATATTCCCAGCCCTTTTTATATTTTATATAGAGACAGAGTCTCACTAAGTTGCTTAGGGTCTCACTAAGTTACTGAGACTGGCTTTGAACTTACAATCCTCCTGCCTCAGCCTCCTAAACCAATGGGATTACAGGCCTAGCTCTGGGCCCAGCTCTGGGTTCCATTTTGTAGCCTAATATTGCTCCCTTTCTCCATTTTCTTGGTCTCAGTAAATAACATGAATTCATTTTTGTTGTCTGTATTGGGCTGTTAGAAACTTGCTACTTATAAACACCTTCTATGGCAATTATTTTCATTGAAATGACTGGCTTTCCTACAAAAAGAAAATGTATCTGTGACTAGCCCTGAAAATCTTTACTTTGAACTTCTGGTCCCACTGTTTGTTTTTGAAGTCTAGCTGCTAATTGTTTCACCATGTAGCATTCATTCCTACTGGAACAGTGCAGTTTCAAAGTTCTCTTCCTGTTTATGCTCAGGGAAAATAAAAAATGAGCAGTATTTAATTCTAAGTAGTAATAAAACCTACAGGGAGAAAGAGAAGTATGCAATAACTTTTCTTTTTTGGCCTCTAAATGACATATAAAGGCTTAACTTCTTCTCTCCCACACTTGGAAAAAACATCCATTTAATCTTAGTTGAGAGATAGTGCACTTTCTGTTGGAGCATTTGTTTTGTGTAAGTAACTGGCACTCTTGAGGTGGTTTTTAGATTTCAGTATAAGAATCATGCAGTTAGCATCTGGTGTCTGGGCACTGTGATGAAGCACACTAGTGTTCTGCATCCTTCCGCTCTAACAGAGTAAGATTTTGGAAGCAAAGGAGTTTTCAGAGATCTGAAAAGCTGAGGTTGATATATAAAAGGAGTCACCAGAATGACTAACATCACTGATCTTATTTTTCATATCCTCAAAATGGTACTCCTGCCCCCTCCTCCACCTCCATGTTCTCTAGCATGTGCTGAGAAAAAGCAAATGCTGAGGGCAAGAGAAACTAAATATGTGGAAGAGAAAAAAGAAATTATCTAAATGTTTTTCAGAATACTTCCCTTATAGTCTTTTAACTTCTTAAAGCATGTTTTATAAAATATATAAATGTATTTTGATCCTTTTGCAAATATTAGAATATTTTCTTTTCCCAGTGCTGAAACTAAAGACATAGAAAATCACTGATTTCCTTGGAGCTAAGATTACTCTTTTAATCTTTCATTAATCTATTTTATTTATGGAGAACCTGCAATATTGCGGATACTATGGAAATCGATACGTAGTATTATTTGTAGTGTACCTTTATACCATCTGTTTTTTCCTCCCTTTTTACTTATTTTTTCTTGTGTTTTAGTATTTTTATAGAGTCAATTATTTTTAAAAGAAATTTAAAAACAAAAGAAAATATCTTCTATTTACATACTGTGTGTTTTAGTCAGCTTTTTCACTGCTATGATTAAAGGATCTGACTAGAACAACTGTAGAGGAAGAAAAGTTTATTTGAGGGCTCATGGTGTCAGAGGTCTTAGATCATTGAATGATGGCTCTATTCCTCAGGGCTCATGATGAGGCTGAACATCATGGCAGGAGAGGGTGGTAGAGGGAAACAGCTCACATCACAGTGATTAGGAAACAGAGGGAGATTCCACTCTCCAGATACAAATATATACCCAAAGCTACACTCTAATTCCCACCTCCTTCAGCCACACCCTACCACTTTAGTTAATCCTTATAAGGAGATTAAATCATCGATTGGGTTAAGACTCACAACCCAATCATTTCTCTTCTGAATCTTTCACTGTCTTACATGTGAGCTTTTGGGGGACACCTCACATCCAAGCCATTTGAGTTTGTTAGCTTTTCATCACTGTGACAAAATACCTGAGAAAATCAACTTAAATAAGGAAAGATCTCTCTGTCTTTTTTTGGGGGGGGGGTGCCAAGGATTGAACTCAGGAGCCCATAACCACTGATCCACATCCCAGCTCTTTTTTTTTTTTTTTTTGCATTTTATTTAGAGACAGGGTTTCACTGAGTTGCTTAGTGCCTCACTGTTGCTGCGGCTGGCTTTGAACTCTTAATTTTCCTGCCTCTGCCTCCTAAGCTGCTGGGATTACAACAAAAGTCATTTTTGACTCATGATTTCAGAAGTTTCAATCCATGTTTGGCCTGCTTCACTGTCTGGGCCTGTGGTGAGACTATAATCATTATGGAAAGAGATGATGTTGTACATCTGCTCAGAGAAAAATGAGAGAGGGAGACACAGAGTGAGAGAGAGAGAAAGACAGAGACAGAGACAGAGACAGAAAGAGAAGCCAGGGACAAGATACACCATTCAGATGCTCAACCCCCATGACCTACCTCTTCTAACTAGCTTCTGCCTTCTTCCAATAGCACCACCAACTGTGGACCAAACCTTTAACACCTGAGCCATTGATGGACATTCCATATCTGGACCATAACACCTACATATTTACCATTTCTGATATTAATCATTTTTTCTGATGATCTGTATTTCTTTCATTTAACCTAATGAACTTTTTTCAAAACATATTTTAGTGCAGGTCTAGCAGCAATGGATTCTCTCAGCATTTGTGTATCAGAAAATATCACCTTAATTTTTGAAGGATTTTTTTTTACTAGATATAGAATTCAGGGTTGACTCCACACACCTTAAAGATACCATTCCATGGTCTTATAGTTTATACTGTTTTTGATGAGAAGTCATGAGAAATATTATGTGTTCCCTGATTACCAAGCCATCCCACCTTACCTCTCAGCTGCTATTGAGCCTTTCTCTTTATCCCTGCTATTAAGTGGTTGATTGTAATATGCCTTAGTGGGTTTTTCCTTCTTCTGTTTATTGTGCTTGGGATTTGTTCAGCTCTCTGGAAAGTGGCAGTTTTTACCAAATTTGGAAATTTTTTCTCAAGTATTTTTTTCTTCCTTTATAGACTCCAATTCTACATATATTAGAAGGTTCAATATTGTTCCATAGGTCACTGAGGCTCTGGCCTTTTAAAAAATTTTTGGTCACCTATTTCCCCTTTTTGTCCTTTGTATTGAATACTTTTATTGTTCGGTCTTTAAGTTCATAGATAATTTCTTCTGCAGCTAAACTCATTCATTTAATTTTTTCCAAGTATTTTTTCTGTTAAAAAAATTCTATTTATTTCTATTTTTTTATTTTCTATTTTTTCATTATATTTTTTTCTTTGAAATCTTTTAGCATGTTAATAATTCCACCCTCCCCCCACCCCCCCGCCCCTACTGGGACTTGAACTCAGGGGCACATCTCCAATGCTTTTATTTTATTTTGAGGTAAGGTTTCCAAGGCTAGTCTCAAACTTGAAATCCTCTAACCTTAGCCTCCCATGTCATTAGGGTTATAGATGTGCACTGCTGTGTCTGGTTTATAGTAGCCTTTTAAAGGTCTTTGCTCATTCTGTATTCTCTGCTATTTCTGAGATTCTTTCTGTTAATTGATATTTGTCCTGGTTATATTTCTAAGTCTTTCTATTTGAAGTAATTCTTGATTGCATGCTGTGAAATATGTTGTTGTTGTATATGTGTTCCTTATTTTAAGTTTCCTTTTGAGGTATGTTGAATTTTATTTTAACAAGCAGATAAATTATTTGTGGATTGGCTCAATCATTTTAAGGTGTAGAGTAGCCTTTACTTTCAGATTAATTGAGCCCTCCTACTAAGCTCTCTTTCTTGAGCTCTCTATAGAAAGCGCTGAATGTTCAATGAAGCTCTTTAGAGCTCCTGTGTCTCCTGTCCTATGTGAGCTCTGGAGTTGTTCAGCTTAGAGCTCCCTAGAAATTGTTTTTTGCCTGTCCTTATGGAATTTCACTCTTATGTGCATACCTCAGCATTTGGCCAGACTCAAGTAGACTGTGAAAAATTATAGTGCTCCATCCCTGCTTAGTTTCCTCAGTCTCCCCAAACTCTGATTGCTATCTTAGCTGAGTGCCATTTTCTGCTTGGATTCTTTTTCCCTATGGCACAGTCTATGTGGTACCTTTAGGCAAAATCCCAAGATGATCTTAGGGCCCCAGGATGATCTTAGGGCTCATTTCATTCATTTTCCTTCTGTCAAGTATCACTGTCCTTCTCTGCCCCTTGTACAGTATCTGAAAATAGTTGTATCATGTTTTTTGTTTAGTTTTTCTGATGTTTACAAAAAGATGAAAAGTCTTTCATGGCTAAAGGCAGAAGTTCATGATAATTTTATTTTAAGTATTACTTATTTTTGTTTAAGTGGTACTTAGTTAATGGGAATCCCAACTAGCGGATTATAGAAGATGTTGTAGGGACATTTCTTTGAGGTTAGAGCCTTTGTTTTGACTTACTAGATATATAATTCTAAGTATGTACAGACTGGGCCATCTAAAGAAAGCAAGATTGGTAGCAAGATATAACATTTTTCTTAGAAAAAATAAAAAATACTTTAGTTTTTGTGATACTCCCTTGAATCAGATTCTGTTCATGTAAATATTGCCTTCCTGATGGAAATGTATGTGGCTGTATTATTAATTGACTGTATCCTTTAACATTTTAGGAGCAGCATTTCTTGCCATTACAACTATTTATGCTGAGACTGGATCTGGTTTTGTAGTACCAAGTGCTTCTTCCAAAGCAGGTGTGGAAGCCATGAACAAGTGAGAACTACTTTACTACCTCTTGCTGAAGATAGCTCATGGAACTGAAATTCCTGTTTTCTAGTCTTCACCCAAAGAAAAATAAAACAAGACAAATTGAATTCACTAAGAGACACACATTCTCCTGAATTAATTTTATTTTTCTGTAGCAGCACTATAAATAGAACTTTTTATAGTTGTGGAAATGTCCTATAATTCCAATATACAACAGCCACATGTAGCCACTGAATCCTTGAAATGTAGCTACTGTGACTGAGAAACTAATTTTTGAAAAAAAAAATTAATAGTCACTTGAGGCCAGTATCTACTAATTAGGTACCACAGGACTACAGCCTTTTCCACTCTACCATGTGTCTTTACTAATGCCATTTCGAAACTTGTGAACACATCTTCATCCTTTTATTTTTCCTACTGTGCAAGATTAATGGGGCTAACACAGTCCATGAGCACTTACCAAGATTAGTGGCTTTTCCTTGGCAGATTAGGTGTCTTTTTGAGTTTGTTTTCCCCATTGTATTTGATGTTATGGGAGTTTTCATTGCTTGTCTGGTTTAATAATCCTGTAATATATTTCTTTCCTTTCAGCCTCTTCCCCTTTTATTTTTTGTTCACATTCTCACCAGAAGTATTATTTTTTATATATATATGTGTATATATGATATTCCCTAGATAAAAACCTTTGCTCATATTCCATTAGTGTTTGGAATAAAAGCTGTAACTAAGAATGGCATTCTAAACAGACTTGTCCCTGGCCTTTGTGTTTTTAATCAATTTATTCAATAAGTGTTTTTTGTGTGCATGCCTTTGTGCAGAAACCAAGGATGTGGTTGTTATGAAAATAGAACAGCCTTGGTCCTCACCTATTTATATTTTTACACCATTTCATCCATTATTCCTGTGTTTTAATTTTCATTGAATTGTTTCACTTTTCCTTAAACATGCCAGTAGACAATTTCTTTGGTGTTGGGGATTGAATCCAGGGGTGCTTTACCACTGAGCCACATCCCCAGCCTTTTTATGTTTTATTTTGAGACAGCGTCTCACTAAGTTATAGAAGCTATCCTCAAACTTGTGGTCCTCCTGCCTCAGCTTCCCTTCTTACTGGGCTTACAGATGTGTACCACACTATGCCTAGCTTATGCTAAACATTTTTATGTCTCTAACTGGGCTGTTGTTGTATTTGCTATGATATATTCTCTACTTACCTCTATGGCCATGTTTCCTCATTACACAGAATTAATTATCACTTACTCTCTATGCCTTAAGTCTTTGTTTAATCCAATCTAGTGAGAAGACATACACACTGAAAAATAGATTCTAGATGAACTTAAAATATGTTGATGTAGCAGGGACACAGAGAAAGGAAAGATAGACTTTTAAACATAACATTAAAGCTGACTTCCCCACTGGGGTGTGAGATCTATGAGAGGAGGGACCGTATTCTTGTGTCCTCATTACCCAGTAGGATTCTGGCACATCGCTGATGTTCAGTGCTTGTTGATCTGCATTTCTGTTCTGTTCTTCCTCAAGTTTCAAAATCTCTTAACATTTAGATCTACAGTAACACATTTGTTGAGACAGAAAGAGAATTATTTTGTATCTTAGTCCATTTTGTGCTGCTATAAAAGAATACTTGAGCTGGATGCGGTGGTGCACACCTGTAATCCCAGCAAGTAGGGAAACCGAGGATCACAAGTTCAAAGCCAGCCTTGGAGATTTAGTGGGACTCTGTCTCAAATAAAAGGAGGGGGGCTGGGACTGTAGCTCAGTGGTAGAGCACTTGCCTAGCATGTGTGAGGCATTGAGTTTTATCTTAGCACTACATAAAAATAAACAGGATGAAGGCATGCTGTCTATCTACAACTACAAAAACAGTAAATAAATAAAGAATAAAAAATAAATAAAAGAAAAGAAGGGCCGGGAACACAGGTTCAATCTCTGGCACCCAAAAAACAAAACAAACCCTGAAACTGGGTAATTTATAACAGGTCATTTATAAAGAAGTGATTTATTTATTCATAATTTTGGAGGCTGGGAAATCCAATATCAAGTTGCCAGAATCTGGCAACAGCCTTTTTGCTACATCCTTCCATGGCACAAAATGAAGAGAAAGCAAGAGGGGGGTCAACTTTGATTTATGAGAAGCCATTCTCGCCACAACTAACACGTTTCTGATTTAACATTAATTTATTCTGCCCTCATGGCTTAATCACCTCTTATTAGGTCTCACCTCCCCAAACTATTGTTTGAGTATAAAATTTCTAATGCATGACCTTTGGAGACACAGTCAAACTATAGAAACTTTATTCAGAAGTTAAATCTTGTTCTGAATGATTACCTTTTTTTTTAATGTCAGAAAGAATTGGAAATAAAGGATGAAAACATGATAGCATTTGTGTAATGTCAGCATTTGTTTCATTGGCACCTTTGACTCTTTGTTAGAGGTTTCAATTTCATATCCTTTCAGGACTTGAATTCCATGTGGCTTTTCTTTGTGTTCCTACATAGTGTATTGAACTTAATAAATGCTCAATAAATATGTGCTTTTTTTTAATAGCCTGAACTAACTAACCCTTTTTTCTACTTTATAGTACACAGTCAACTGGATAAAGGCCTGTAGATTCCCAAATATTGCATGTTGTTTGCACCTTTGCCCTTTACTCATACTGACGCATATGCCTGAGCTGTCTTTCTTTCTCCATATGCCTGGATTCCCGCATCCCTGCCATCATCCCTGCATCCCTGCCGTCACCTTCTGCAGCAAACTCAATCTTTTTTAAGTGCCAGCTTCCATACCACCTCTTCAGGGGAGCCTTCCCTGCCCTCTCAGTTTGAGTAGATATCTTGTCCTTCAAGCAGCCATGACACACTTTACATTATTCCAGGTACAATAAGTATACAACCAAATTGGCATCTCGTCAGATAGACGACTCTTTTGAGAACAGACACTGACTTCCTTACTGGGTACTACACAGTACTTATAGAGTGTTGGTGTTTATGATCAACATTTGTTGCGAGAATAGTAATGGCTAATGTGTTGAGTATATTGTACTTCAACTTAACATGCAGATCTAACCAAATGAGATAGATTCCTTGTCCTGTTCTTCAGTATATAACTTAGCTTAATGAAAGCAGATAGATTGTGCTAGCATGAAACAGATTTATCTGGTTTACCTCTTAGAAGAGATAGGATGGCTTTTCTTCTAGGTAGATTTCCTTACTAAGTTGCTCAGTATTTCACCAGATGACAGATTCTGCTTGGCTGAGTAATTCTGTTAAAACATAAAGTTACTACTTCTCCAGCACTTTGGAGTAGGTGTACTGTAGGTACATGCCTATGGTAGGTATGGTCATGAATATTATTAAAAGGACCATTCAGAGAAGCAATTTTTATTTTATGTATGATTTGCCTGAAAGAGATGCTACCCACCCATTTTTCTAAAATGCATCTAAGGTAAAAAGTGTATCACAGTGAAGACTACTATTATGTATGGTTGTTATTCACCTAAAATTAAAAAATAAATAAATAAAATGCATCTATAACTAAGTCAGAGTAACAGACTGAACTGTTTCACATGTGCCCTATCACACACAACTGGTTTTACTGAATTGACCTTTGAAGTACTGTCTGACTATAATAAGGATATCTTATAGTTTCATTAAACTTATCCTTTTTTTTTATCCACTGCAAAGATATAATGTCTTAAGGACATTTTTATGTTATACAGTTTTCCTTTTATAAATCTTCTCGGAAGAAATATTCTAATTTTTGTATCAGAAACAATTGTGCTTTTCTGAAGCATTAGCTTGCTCCTTTCTTTTTTTTTTAAAGAGAGTGAGAAAGAGAATTTTTAAAAATATTTTTATTTTTCAGTTCTTGGCAGACACAACACCTTTGTTTGTATGTGGTGCTGAGGATCGAATCCGGGCCTCACGCATGCCAGGCGAGCGCGCGACCGCTTGAGCCACATCCCCAGCCCTAGCTTGCTCCTTTTTGTGGGGCACTGTGAACCATGATTAGGCTTACCTTTTTTATACAGGGTTATAGAAAGAGTGGATAGAAATTTGTGACCTGCCTATTACAATCATATGAAACATCATAAGATATTTAGAGGTTTATTTCATTCTTTGCCCTTGTATTTCTTCTCCTTTTCTTTTTCCTTGCCTTTCCTGTCTTCTCATTTGCATTATCTATTATCTATACTTTTAAGCTACCCTAACTCATTAATTGAAACTAAATTAAGTTTCTGTATACACACAAATATACCTACAGTATAAATTCATAAAATGCGTTTATATTTTTTAAAAAATGATGATCTGTCAAGTATGTTTGTCAAACAGTTTGTTTCAAGTTTCCATGTTTGCTATTAATGTTATATTTTGCTTCAAGACATTTAGTAAGGTTCCATTAGATTTTTATTACCTTTAAAGCTTAATTCAACAATTATATTAAAGACTAGTTAAACATGGATGTGGTTGATATTTTAAGTCTATGTAATTCACTTCTTATTCAATTAAAGTACTTGTGATGCTGCAGACATTGGAGTCCAGTGCCCAGGGTTACAAGTAAAATTATAATGAACTTTGTAAATGTAGTATTGAACTCCAGAAAATGGGAGGGAAAGGCTTGAAGCTTTCACATTTTTATGTGCCTAGTGTATACCAACTCTAAAATCTGTGTCAATACTATATTTCTTGTTCTACAGTGTAAATGATAAGTGGCATAGTGAGTAAGGACATTAAAACAAATGGTAGTGGTACAGCAGAGTGACTCAGGGCACAAACTCTGGGGCTAGACCACTTGAGGTTGATAGATTAGTCATATAACCTAGGGAAAATGATTTCGCCTGTCTTTACCTTCACTTTACCTTATCTGTAACTTAGGAAGTAATACTATTATGTACCTAGAGGGGTATTATAATCTTTGGTGTGGATTAAGAATGTAGTGAATCTTGATTATTTGTGGTTCTCAGAATATGGTGTAATCTTTTTAATGTGTTTTGTCTTTTTAAATTTTTAGGTCCCTTGCAGCTGAATGGGGTAAATATGGAATGCGATTCAATGTAATTCAGCCGGGGCCTATAAAAACTAAAGTAAGTTATAGTTGCCTTATTTTAACAATGTAAATGATTAAAGAATGAAGCAGTGATGAATGCATTCTGGGTGGCATAGGAAGGACTGTCCACTATGGAGGAGAGCTTTTGGCATTGTTCAACATGAGAAATAATGGGATGGGAAGGGATATAGCAGCTGTGGAACATCATGATGAGGTCTGTTTCATTGTCTTCTAGGACCTTTTACACCGTCAGTACTGACTTGTTTTTCCAATTTGCTTCTGTTATTGTAATCTGTTTTTGTCTGGTATTTTTTTCATTTTTTGCCAAATTTTAAGAACACTTGTTACTTTGACTTCTTTTCTTTTTTTAATCATGGAAATGTAACTATATTTTTAGTTTAAGAAGTGCCCTAAAATTTGATCATGAAGGCTCGGTCTTGCTATAGGTAGCATTTTCTTTGACTCATTCCTGTGCCTTTTCACTTTCCATCAATTATGGATGTCATCCAACTCCTACGTTTCTCTGATTAAAAATCCTCCCAAAGGCATGCATTTCACCTATAATTAATAATCCTTACAGATACTCATTGCAACTCATAATTATCACTAATGCTGCTACAGATGTTGCTCAGAATGTCCACAGGTTCTCTGTTCTCTAACATTACCCCCAGATAATTTGACTTTAACACTTTTTGTTAGCATGTGAAACAAGATTTTATAATCTCAACTGGGTTATGGCTGGAAAACCTAGTCAAAATGCATAAGAATATAATAAATAATACTAAAGAACATTTGGGTGGCAAGTAGCTCTGGGATATTAAATTTTAACATGGAAATGGCAAGAACAATTTATTTAGCTGTTTAATGTGTGGAATGAAAAAATTACCAGAGTGAAGCTTGATTGAATATCTTCTTATCTGACACTTTAATAATAAAGAATCTAATAAAAGCAGGGAAAATATAACTCAAAAACATTTATTAAAACACATGGTTTAGTGTGGTCTGTGCTCAGAAATATCTGAAAAGAATTCTGCAGTCACAGAAACTTATTCCTTAGACTCCAATATCTAGGAAAGATCACTTTCATGTTACTATTTATTTAACATACATTTAATGAGTGGCCACTGTGCACAAAAGTACTGGGAATGATACAGCAACATTTGTGACAAAGTTCTTGCTATCAAGGAACTTATAGTCTAGCAGTGGAAATATGACTTCTACCCAAAGATTAGGTACATAGTTTTAAAGAAATTAAAGAAAGCAGAAGCTCTTTAGCAAGTACAGATAGAACCAGGGTTGGGACCAGTGTCTATGCCCTATCTGCCTAGGGAGAACTGGAGGACCTATAAAGAGTCTCAGGTGTGTGTTCTGTCTCAGAACTGTTGAGAAACACCATTACCTACAATTCAAGGCTCTAGGACTGAAAGCTCCAGTCATTTTTATTGATCAGCGCATATCTATACCTCATCTTGCTCTGTTCCTGCACATCATTAACATAAAAACAAATTGGCTAAGTTAGTTATGGTTTTTCTTTAAGATCTACGTGATTTTAATATCATAACATGCTTGTTTTATTCCTTTCCTATTATTCTGGGAAGAAGAAAAGAAAGTACCTCCTACTTGAGTAACTTTTCTCTGTTCACTAAATGAAATGACCAGTAATTCCACTGCCTCCACCACACTGAGCTTATACATTTTTCAGAGGACTTTTGTATACATTTGCTCATTTGATGTTTATAACTTGGTGAGGTAGCTAAGGTACATGTCCTCCTTTTACAGAGAAGAAACTAAGATTAATAGTTATGTTTTCCATTGATTTTTTAAATTTCAAATTTAGGTAAAATGACCTGTTTTGGCTTAAAGTGAATATTAAAGAATTTATTGAAATTCTGTCATTCACAAAGCCTAAGGTACAAACAGGCTACCATAGTAGAATTTCATTTTTTGCAAATTTAAGTAGGAAAATAGTTGGATTAAACACACACACACACACACACACACAAAAAAAAAAAAAAAAAAACAAAACAAAACCCTAATGATTTTCTTAATTTTAAAGGGTGCCTTTAGCCGTATGGACCCAGCTGGGACATTTGAGAAAGAAATGATTGACAGAATTCCCTGTGGACGACTGGGGACCATGGAAGAACTTGCAAATCTTGCTGTTTTTCTTTGTAGTGATTATGCTTCTTGGATTAATGGAGCAGTAAGCATTTCATCTCTTGACTTTTGAGGAGTTTGGGAAGCCTTAATTTGGAAGCAGTTCTGATAATGTTGCATATAAATATGATTTAAAATATTTATTTAGCTGTAAATAATATAAAAATATTACATTTTAGCCCATAAAAATTATTCAATAAATTATTTTATTAATTGCAGGTTACCCTTACCCTGGTAGGCACAGCTTTAAGATGATCTTTTAAGATTGGGTAGAATTTGAAATTGTGGAGTTGTTGGAAAGAGTATTCTAAATAGAATATATCAGTTTAACTTTAATCATCAGTTTTATTCTTTAAAATTTGGTTTTGAAAGTACTAAGGAGATATTTCAACCAATTAGGAAAAGAAAATGGGAATGATTAAGAAGCTTTTCAAAAGAAGCTAGTTTCAGAGTTTTTAATTTTTTTTTTCAGACTATTAGATTTGATGGTGGAGAGGAAGTATTTATATCAGGTGAATTCAACAGCCTAAAGAAGGTAATGCAATTTTGTGTATATAATCAATATTAGTAGCTAGCAATATTATATGCTAAATATTATATGCTAAACTTTGTAAATATGCAAGAACCCCTTTAAATTGACATTGTTTTTTCTTCTATCAGGTCACCAAGGAGGAGTGGGACACAATAGAGGGACTCATCCGAAAGACAAAGGGCTCTTAAGATCACTCTGGCCTTAATCTTCGGTGCCGTAAAATTTAGAGACTAAAAATGATATAAATTGACTGAAATCTTTCAAGTATTTTCAAGTCTAATAAATTGTTAATTAACAAGCATTTGCTAAGAGTATACTGTGTACCTGGCTAGTGGAAGTTATTACATATTTAAAGATGAATAAGATAGGATATCACCTGTTCAGTTTTTTTGTTTTGTTAAGTAGGTGGGAGAGTGGAGAAAGGCCTAGAGGTGAAAAGTGCTTAAAAGTACAGAGTGAGGCACTGGTAGTTGTGATCTGGAAAGTCAAGGGAAACCTGATGGTGAGAGTAGCATGTAAGTTGCATATTACACTATGCTTATTGTGCTAGGGCATAAAAGAAAGAAATCTACACTAAATTCAATGGATTCCACCTTTCTAATAATTTCTTTTTCATTAAACTTATGAATTATCTTCTTTTTTAAATTTGAAGTTACTCATTTTCTTTAGTTATACCTGACAGTGGTACATATTTTAACATATTATACATACATGGAGTATAACTTCCCCTTCTTGTGGTTGTACATAATGTGGAGTCATGTATTCATACATGAACATAGGAAAGTTATGTCGAATTCATTCTACTGTCTTTCCTATTCCCATCCCTTGCCCTCTTGAAACTTCATTATCTATCAGGATAGGTAGACAGGTAAACAATTAGGCATGACACATTTATTCTAGCAGTATTAAAGTGTGGAGGAAGAAGTTACTTATTTTGTTTCTGAAGTTCAGAGAAGGTGGCTCCCATGAGACAGCATTCATCTCAGCCTTAACTAGATTTCTCTGGGTAGAGAAGATAAATAAAGCATATAAAATATTTTTGTGTGTATAATTTCATATTTTTTACTAATTTATAATCGTGAGAATAGAATAAGAAAATCAAAGGCTCAAGTCTACAGTTATAATTTTGAACCTATATTTTTAAAAAGGCCATTTGCTTTCATAGAAGTTACTGATAACATGTTCACTAGACTGAGTATCCCTGTTGCCCAAATTGTTCAGATAGGGGACCAGCTTCTATCTTACTTCATCTGAAGAGGTCCATGGAGGAATTCAGTTTTCCTATTTGAATTATATGCTATAAACCTTTTAAGGCAATCTTTTTAATTACATTTATTATGTTTTATAGTGTACACTCAGGATAATGTTATAGGCTTGGAATAAATGCTCTTGGTTTTCACTAGCTTTTTAGGATGTTAACACTTTCCGTATACTCTTCAGTACAAATACCCCATCTCCATTTACCTTAAACAGTAATCCTTGTTTTCTTCTCACTCATCTTTTTTTTTTTTAATTGTTAGTACTTCCCATAGTGTTAAGAAAGAAAAGTTCTGGTAGTTTTAAGACCTTGTGTCTTACTTATTATTTTCTTCATCTATAAAATACTAGATTATAATATCTGCTTCATGGGTTGTTAAGTGAAATGAAACAAACAAATAAAAACACTATAAAGTAGCAAACAAACAAATGAAAGACGGCCTTTCTAGTTTTTGTACCTTTTATTTTTAAGACCTGATTGTTATAGAAAAAGTGAGAATGCAAAAGAATAGAAAAGGACAAGCTCACTAATTTCCTAAGGAAAACTTATGTTCATACTTTGGAATAATTTTTCACCCTTTTGCTCTTTCACTTATTATTTTTATGAAAGTGATCTCTGTATAATTTACCCAGAGGCTACTGCAGTCCCCACTCTACTGCTCATTTTCCAACTATCTTCAGCTCTTTTGACTATTTTTTTTTCTTTCTAGAAAAAGAAAACAACACACTAATTTGCAATTTCTTAAATTTTTCCAGTTTTAGAAGTTTGTTTCTTCCATGAATGATGTTTAGCATTCTTATTCCATTTCTATACCCACCTTCCACCCACCACCTGTCACCAAAAATACACGGACACAGACACACTCTCTTCACTACTTTCACCAATACATCCATATATTGGGTAAATATTATATTCATATTTTTATAACTTTAAAAATATTTTCTCTAGTGTTTTCTCAACCACTTTCTTTTCTTTTCATAGTTCAGATTATATGACCAATCAGATCCTTTTTTTAAAAAAATAAAAGTATGATTTTTAGTGTCTTCTGGTTTACAAGTATCACAGTTTAATTCGTTGTTCTTAGAATTCTTATTTTTAGTTAAATTTTTTCCTTCAAAGATGCTTATTGGTTTGCCTTTTGGCAGTGCATTTTAAAATTATTATTTTTGATTCACACATCATAACTGGATACATTTATGGAGGACAGCCTGATGTTTTGATGCATGTATAAAATGTGGAATGATTAATTAAGTTAATTAACAGATCTATCACGTGGCTGATCTATGTCATTTTAATGGTAAAATATTTGAAATTTATTTTGTCATTTTGAAATTTAAAATACATTACTATTAACTGTAGTTCCCATGCTGTGCAATAGATCTCAAAACCTTTTCCTTCTGTCTAAAATTCCTTTGATCAACACTCCCCACCTCCACCACTTTGGGAAACAACTCTTCTGTTTTCTACTTCTGAGTTCAATATTCTTAGATTCCACATGTAAATGATATCATAGGTTATTTTTTTCAGTCATATAAATAAAACTATGTGAACATATCTGTGTGCTAAAAACATTTTTATAATTTGGATTTTTTTTTCCTCATGCCAGATTGTTTCTTGAGGTGGGTACCAGGGATTGAACTCAGGGCACTGAACCATTGAGCCACATCCCCGGCCCTATTTTGTATTTTATAGAGAGACAGGGTCTCACTGTTGCCTTGCTTTGAACCCGTGATCCTCCTGTCTCAGCCTCCTGAGCCACTGGGATTACAGGCATGTAATGCCACTGCACTCCTGGCTTCCTCATGACGGATTCTTAGAAGTAGTAGTATCAGTCAAAGGTTCTGAAGCTTTTAAATGCCCTGGATACTCATTTCCAAATTTTTATTCCAAAAATTTGTATGGGCTTAACCTTCCCTGAGCAATGTCTGATGATTCCAATTTCAACAAATACCTGCCAACAATGAAAACTATTTACCAATTTTATAAGGAACAAAGGATAGCTCTTTTACAATTGTGTCCAATTACTAGTGAGTTTTAACACTTTTCTATACTTGAGAATTTTGTGTTTGTCATTTTACTTGTTGGAACCTTAATGGTATATTTAAATTTTTGATTTGTTATGAGTTTTATGCATTTTCCCTTCTATTAGTTATCTCTTAAAGTTTGTCTTATCATATTACAAGAGGTGGATGAGGGAGATAAGTTTATGAGCATGGCAGAGAGGACCAAAAAAGATAGAGGTCATGGAGATTTCCCCTACCAGACATTCTTTCTGAGTCTGAAATAGAAACAGATGTTACTTATGGATAATCAGTGTCCTGATTACAGACTGCCTTTGGGCAATAACCACATCACTGTCTCATCTCAAGAATTATTACTGTCACTTAGATACTTACAGTCCTGTTCCTGTTGCACTAATGGAAGAATTAATATGCAGCCATTTAAAGTAAGGGCTGTTGGTAACATCTTAAAACTGACTTGGGGAAACCACCAGTAAATATTTCCAACATAGAGGGACAATCATTTCTTCCTTTTTGTTCTTGTGGAAACTAAAGCAGCAGGAATGTGATTGCACCATATTTTTTTTTTTGGTGTCAGGGTGTGTGTGTGTGTGTGTGTGTGTGTGTGTGTGTGTGTGTGTACCAGGGATTGAACTCAGGGGCACTCAGCCACTGAGGCCACATCCCGAGCCCTATTTTGTATTTTATTTAGAGACAGGGTCTTACTGGGTTGCTTAGTGCCTCGCTTTTGCTGAGGCTCACTTTGAATTCTTGATCCTTCTGCCTCAGCCTCCTGAGCCACTGGGATTACAGGAGTGTACCACTGCTCCCACATGAATAGTAGAATCTTATAGTTGGAGAAGCCTTAATTTAAGAAGTGTACCAATCATGAATTATCACAAAATTAGCATACACTTGTAACCTCTACAGGTTAAGAAACAATATTACCAGAAATCTAGAAACCTTCTTTCTATCCTCCATCAAGACTCCGGCATCCTTTTAAGAACACGTTTTAAGAACACTTGTGCAGAGTCTGAAGTCCTGAGGGCTCATCTAGACATCTGGTTGGGTGATCTAACACATGCCGTCTACCTCTCTCCACTTCTCTGTTTGTTTCAAGGGAGTTGATCATTGTTTGAGAGGCAAGTGAGTCCCTACAATATTTTAAATTGATGTTAAATAAAAAAAATTTTCCCTTGTCCCCACTGCCTTTAGGTACTTTACTATATTAAAAAATGATTTAAATATGAAAAAACTCTTGTGAATGTAAGTTCTTAATTTTAATGTAGTACAATTTTCAGTCTGTTTCTTCCTAATTGGTTAAAATATATTTCATAACTGGTATTTTGAAAATGCTTTTTCGTGTTATTGTCTGCATACCTTTACACCTAGATAGAAACTAGGAATGCATTTTGTTTGTAGTGTGAGGTAGACATTGTGCTCATAGTCTTACATTTATTTACCCTTGTAGGTGCTTCATGTGTGTGTGTGTGTGTGTTTCATTCTTATTTTCTGTTCTAGAAAGCAGATGTGTCACATATAAGTAAATGTGACTGATTAGATGAGATATGTGAATTTCTTTGTCTGGTAGTATTTAGGAGCTGAAGGCTAACGTGACAATCATGATGGTAGATTCGTGACCATTATTACCATCACCTCTCTAAGGAATCTCTTCAGAAATACTACCATTGTACTATTTTGTCATTAGTTTTTTCTTTTACTGTGCCATTATGGGTAGAGTGCCAAACCTGATATAGTTTTTGTGTGTATGTTACAGTGAATAGCTATTTTTTATAGGTGAGATGTAGGAAAATTCTCTTTGTTCCACCTGTTCCTTGGGAGACATTGCATGAGAAGAACTATCTGGTTATGTCAGTTGGCAAAAATACTTCAAATATTTGGATTTTTTGAAATTTGTCAGGTATAGTGTCAGAGAAACTCCTTAATTCACCAAGTCATCTCATAATTCATTAAGTCAATTTTGCATTTATTTGGATTCCATATGCTATAATAATTTGAGAATCCTATATTTCCCACCTGGATTGTTTATGGATTATATGTCAACAGATATTTTGGAGAAGAAGCAAATAAAAAGAGATTAAGGTCATTTTTATCTTTATTTATTCTTAGTAGTTAAATTCAGTCTAATGTCAGTGTTTCCATTTACTCACTACACACAAAGCCAATCTATCACTCACTTACATCATTGGATAAATTTTATTTTTTTGGCGGATCTCTTCTTTTCAGTCTCGAGGGAAAGAGATTACTCATACTTTTTTGTTGTTGTTATTTTTATGAATTGAAAAAGTAAATGTTGAAAGGGAACATTGAAGCTGACCCAGTACCATCATTAATTCTTTGGCAGTTACGTTATAAACTCCCCTCAGACACTTCTCTCATCACTCCTGGCTTCACAATCATAGAATCTGAAATCACCAACCATTACATGTCAACTATAACCAGTATAGACTATTCTAGCTACAAATAATGCGAAACTGTGACTTATATGTGGGTCAAAGAGGTTTCAGAATCCCCCCTTACTAGATAAGATAAATGATTACATTAGCATTTCTCTTTAATACTATTTTCAACTCATTTGAAACTATTTGCAGATAGAAATAGAACTATTTTGAATGCTGATCTCAATATGAAATATAGAATCCACAGAATACACAAAAGTATTGATGATATAACATTCAATAATCAGGATGCTATGAATTTTACATTAAAATTCAATTATGTAGTAAAAAATAGAGTTGTTATAGCTAGAAAAAAATATTTTCAGAGGCAGCAGATACCCTTGGTGGAAATGAACAGTTCTACATAGAAAGAAATCCAGGAAGTATGCAAACTGACACCAGGATACTCAGTATATTAAATTTAATCAGTTTACACACAATATGACATAAAGAGCAGTTTACTAGAATAATTATATCTGAAACACATGAAAATAGTTTAGAAAATGGATTAAGGTCATATTCTTAAACAGTAGACTTGTTGGAAACAGAATCAGATTTATGTATTATCTGGCACTACCTTGCCTTGCCACCAAATCAACTTAAGCCAAGCAGTAAATGTTTTGTTGATTAATAAACTAAATCCCTAGTGATACTTTTAACTTCATAAAGACATACTAATTATTTATTGTAATTTGGTGAGTATTTTAGTAGTCAAAGAACATTCCTCTTAACAGTTGGAAATACAGCTTAGAAATATTTTGTGGAACAGTCCTTGAGTGTCTAAAATAAAAATGCTTGACTTGCCATGTATAACTTCATATTTAGAGCCAAATGTGCATTTACACATCGGAGACTAAAATTTTAGAGATTAATCTTGGTGGACTATTTAGGGAAATCTTAACATCCAGCTGTATTTAGGAAAGCAAGGATATGTTAGACTATTTTTTTAATTGGGTTACTGATTGACCTAAGCATAGGCTCTCTTCTTATCAATCATAGAGTTACAAAAACTGTACATTACAAACAGTATAGAAACAAGCAGAAAAGAATGTGCCACACATCCTGGATAGTTATCTATATGCAGTGAAATTTACAGATATAAAAGAAAATACAGCCTACTCCTTTATAGTGCACAGTTATTTTTTAGATACAATGTATCACTAGCAAGTGGTTGCAGCCACCAACTCTAGTTGTCCCCAGCAGAGAGAATAAGAGCAAGATCCGTTCGGTACAGCTTCCCTCCATCTGACAAAGCCATTATGCTTTTCTTGTATGTTGGAATATTATTAATGTCCAGATCCTGTATAGAACATAGATGGCATCGTAATCCAGTTAAATATGAAAGTTAATTACAGTCAAGTGAGAAAATATGAGTTGAAGACTGCTTGTTACATCAATCCTTTAAGAGCTACATTAAATTCCCATAATGTGAATAATCACAAGGTTGTTTTTAAAATGTATTATTCACAGTTACACTGATTTAGGCCAGAATTGAGTTAAGAAGTGAAGTCTACTTCTACTCCTCTATAAATTTTTAAGGTACATTTCCAAAATGGAAGTGTGGTTGCTTTTGGATGGATTCAATAGAGTCAATTAAAGAAATAAGTGGCATAGTAATAACTAAATTACCTGTTTATTTTTCTCACACAGATCTTTCAGTAAAGCATCCAGTTCATTTTCATCTATGTATCCATTGCCATCCTGGGGGAAGGAGAAATAAAAAACAGTGCACAATTAATTCCATCCCCAGTAGAAGGCAATGAAGTAAAATGGAAATAATTGGAATCCTCAGATAATCTGCCAGTGGCCTACTTATATTCTAACCTGTTACATCAGGCCTTGAACATTTTTTACCGCTCTGACATTGCAAAATAGGTGAGTTGCCTTGCAAGATACCTTGAACTATCAGAGTGTCTTCACATTTACTCTTTCACTTGATGTCAACAATATCATCATAAATATAAGTAGTCATTAATATATCCATATGACAAGTGAAGACACTGAGGCCTGGAGAAGCTATGTCAGTGGTCTGATGTCATACCAGGAGATGGTAGTTGTTCTAGAACCCAGGCCCAGGAGCAGAGAAACTAGAGGAATAAGCTGAAGACATGAATTGATGACATCACAAACTGCCTTTCTGCACATATGGGTATTACCACTGACTGCATGGGAGGCTTCTGAGGGATGTTGTTCCCTAGCTTCATCTTTATTCAACCCTGCAAGTCAGCATAACTATTATCACTTGTTTACAAATGAGGAAATGGAGGCTCAGAGGATTTGGGTCCTTTATTTAAAATCTCATGGCAGACAATCCTAAGGTGGGGTTGGAATCAAGGTTTATGCAATGTGGGATATGCCATCATATGCTTCTATGAGAAGAATGCATTGGTTGTAAAATTTTCACAGTCTCTCTCTATTAATATGAACGTTGAGTTTGAGGTTTTTGCTTTCCCTTAGTGAACATTTTCCAAATTCTCAAGAATTAAATTATAGATAAAAGCAAACTCTTAAGGTATCCAAATCAAAAAGGAAGAAGTAAAATTGTCCCTGTTTTCAGATAATATGAATTTTACATTTAGAAAAATCTAAAGATTCCAGTAAAAGCTTAGGCATTTAATAAATATAGTAAAGTTATAGGATATAAAAGTTACATTCAAAAATCAGTTTTATTTTCACATATTAACAAAAAATTATCTGAAAAGGATTAGAAAATCCCACTTTGCAATAGTACCAAAAATGAAGACTATACTTAGGAGTAAACTAAGAAATGAAAGACTTGTACACTGAAAACTACAAAATATTAATGAAAGAATGAAAAACACAGGCATATAGATACCCTGGCTGTGGGCTGGAAGGCTTACTGTTAAAATGTTCAGAAATCCATAGACTGAATGCAGTCCCCTTCCAAATTCTAATATCTTTTTTTCTTTGCCAAATTATAAAACTAAAATTCACATGGAATCACAAAAACCCCAAAGCCAAAACAATTTTTTAAAAGAATGAAGCAAGAGGCATTATACTTCCTAATATCAAAGTATGTGACTAGGACTGGGGTTGTAACTCAGTGGTAGAGTGCTTGCCTAGCATGTGTGAGGCACCACTGGGTTTGATCCTCAGCACCACATATAAATAAATAAATGAATAAAGGTATTGTGTCTATCTACAAGTAAAAAAAAGTTTAAAAAAAAAGTAGGTGACCAAACTACATTAATTGAAATGATATAAAAGACCACCACAATCAGTATAAATAGTAATAAAGACAGAAACAGACCAATGGAACAGAAATCTGTCCATATGTAATCAATTGATCTTTGATAAGGATGCTGAGAATACATATGGGACAAAGATAGTTTCTTCAACAAATGGTGGGAAAACTGTATTATCCATATGAAAAGAATAAAATGGGATCCTTATACTATATAAAAAAATCAACCCACAATTAATAAAAACTTATGACTGGAAGCTGTAAAACTCCAAGAAGAAAACAGGTAAAAATCTTTATGATATTGTTCTTAGCTGTGATTTGATGGATCTGAGCCCATCTGCACAGGCAGCAAAGGCAAAAATAGTGGAACTATATCAAATCAAAGACTTCTGCATTGCAAACAAACATCAGCAGAGTGAAAAAGAAACCTACAGGATGGAAGAAAATATTTGCAAACTGTCAGATGAGGTGTTAATTTCCTTTAATGTAAATAATAAAATATTTAAGTATATAAGGAGATCCTGCAACTCCATTAACCAAAACCTAATAATAATTAGATTAAAACATGGGCTAAAGATTTTAATAGATGTTTCTCTGAAGAAGACATAAATGGCCAGCAAGTTTATAGAAAGACATTCAATGTCACTGATCATTAATAAACGAAATTGAAACCACAGTGAGATATCACCTTACACCGGTTAGAATGGCTATGATCAAACAAGCAAAAGGAAAAAAAAAAAGTATTGGTAAGGATGTGAAGAAATCAGTGCCCTTGTACACTGTTGGCAGGAATGTAAAATTGTGTAGCTACTATGGAAAACAGTACAAAGGTGCCTCAAAAAATTAAAAACAGAATGACTATGTAATCAGCAATGCCAGTTCTGGGTATTTATCCAAAGATCAGGATCATGAAGAGATCTGGTTGTGGAGACAACTAGAAAGACCTTTGATGCATGAAATGACAAATTTGTGGGTGTGTGTGTTTAGATAGGTCTAGATATATAATATTATTCAGCCTTTAAAGAAAACATCCTACAATATATTGCAACATAGATGAATCTTGAGAACATGATGCTAAGTGTTAAACAAGCCAGTTTCAGGAGAGTAAACACTGCTTGATACATCTAAAAGAGTCAGACTCACAGAAACAAAGTAGAACAGTTGTTTTTAGGGCTGGAAAAAGGGGAGCTGGAGAGTCACTAACCATTGGGATTAAATTCTCAATTATAAAACAAATAAATTTTAAAGATTTGCTATATAATATTGTTTCTACAGTTAGTGATACTGTATTTCCTACTTTAAATTTTAAAAGGGTAGATCTTATGCTAAATATTATGACAATAAAAAAGAACAAACATTTACCTGATCATATAACTCAAAAGCCTTATTGAACTCTTTCCCACACATTTTGACTCCCTAGGAGACAGAGCAAAGGTTAAAACACAGTCAGTGTATTTTAGTACATTTCTCTTGACAAATCTCCCATATTCTCAAGGAAAGTATTTTGCACCATAGAGGAAAAGTTAAATACCTGAAATTTAAGAAGAAAATTCTCCTGCACTGGTAATAACCTTTTGAAAGAAAAACATTGTATTAATAGATTAGACTTTTGGATAAGGACCAGTTTATTCTAATAACATTTCCATAGTTCCTAAACTCACCTGGCCATCTCAGTCAATTCCAGCTTCCCATCATTATTCGAGTCAAATAGTTTCAGCTGAAAGACAAAATTTATTTTTTTGTTTCCAAAGACAAAACAAAATATCATGGAGGAATGATTTACTGAATAAAGATGAACATTCAAAATCAAGCAGCTTGAATTATCCATAAGACAAAATTTCAGAAATGGGCATTTTTTAAACTTTTTTTTTTGAGGGGGGGGGGTGTTACTGAGGATTGAACTCAGGGGCACTCAACCATCAAGCCACATCACAAACCCTTTTTTGTATTTTGTTTAGAGACAGGTCTCAATTAGTTGCTTAGTGCCCCTCTATTACCGAGGCTGACTTTGAATTCTCGGTCCTCCTGCCTCAGCCTCCTAAGACTTTGAATTCTATAACTTGTGTCAATTGCCAAAGTTCATTAGAGCAATATAGAATAGTCAGAGTAACCATGATCTTAGCTAGGTTTCTAGAATATTATAATTCATTTTTCTTGCATATGTTTTTATGTATATAAAGAGGTGAGAGAGGTGGTTCCTGGCAATAAGTGGCTCTTCCTGAATCTTCCAAATGATTGTAGGAAAATAAATGTTTAATTCATTTTACCCTTTTAGAGCACAAAATAGTACAAACAAAAGCAATAGGCAGATAACATGAGAGAACAGAAGTCTTGAATAATTTTGAATCCTTTTACTTTCCACAGGGTACTAGACAGTCAATAAGTGCCATAGCTCTCCGTTATACATAATTATGCCCTTGTCACACCCTGTGACATGTCCTGGCATAAACACACTCATTCATATATTTAGGGGAAGCATTTGCATTTTTAGAAAGTAACAACTATTGTTATTATATTGAACTGGTATATATGAAATAAAATACATGAAATATGTATACTAAATGAATGCTAAGTATGTAAACAAGTAGCCTTATTTTTGTTTTCAAAGGAAGGGTTGTGATCAGGTTATAATGGACCTAGGTTTAATGAGATCTTTTAAAGGAGAAAGGAAGGGCATTCTATGGTTTGAGATGTTCTCAGAATTCTTTGTAGAATCGGAATTTTCATTGTCCTGTGTTGACCTATAACATTAACCATAAATTCTAATATTGTCACACTGTCTACCAAGATACTGGACAACTAGATCACACAGTTTAGAACCCATAGGGAAATATTTCCCCACCTATATATTTAAATTTTAATTAGTTCTTGATTAATTTGCTTCCTGGATTTGAACTGGTTTATGACATTTAATCAGATATACCAGGCCAATCCAACAGGGGGAAACTCCCATCAGAGTAGTTTTTGAAAGGCTGCTTCAAATTTCTACCTGGAAAGAAGACTGCTTTAAATAGACATCCCTTAATATTGGAGCAGCATAGAAAATTAATAAATGTAGGTTATTGTCCATTTCACAAGACATGAGTGAGGCCTTAGATCTTCCCATTGTGGCACATGGCAAGAAATCCCAATTGTTTGCTAATATGCTATTGTAAATGGAAATGTAATTAGGAATTAAAGAGAAACACACACACAAAACTTTTTGATTATTTCAAAACTAAAGATTAGTCCCACTTTATAATAAATGTAAGTTTAGTGAATAAGCCAATAACAACATTCTATAAAAGTTTGTCTTTGTTTCTCTAGATAAAGTAGGCTGAAAGCAAACCTCAGCTGCTCCATCAAATATATCAAACCTATTTTACAAGATTGTTTTTCAGGGTAACCAGAGGTTTGAAGTTGCTCATCAATCTAATGCAGTATGATAACTTTAATAGTATACAGTATATTTTTATAGGTTTTTACTTAAATCATGGCATAAGAACTCAAAAGTACCTTCACAATACTTAGAACACCTGTAAATATATGTATATCCTGGAAGTCCTAATCCTGTCACAAATTAAAAGGAACAAACTTCACCTATCTGAGACAAAGTAACTTCATGGACACTGTTTTTATTTAGTCTAGAATCTCATTAATTACTTTTCCCCTCAAACTTTAGGAGCCTATGTATAAGAGGTTTTCTTGGTTCCATTATTCATATTCTGTAATAGATCTTGCTTATACTACTTACCAAAGCAATGAACTCAGGGTGTATTTGGATTTCTTTATCTATAGCATTGATGCAATGCCCAAATATAACAATCAAAAGAAAAGAGATCCATTTTAAGTGGCTTAATGAATTAAGTAACTAGAGGTTCTCTTAAAACTCTAAAAAGTTCAATTTTATAAGCTGTAATAAAAATGGATTCAGAACCTCTATAATAGAATTTGGGGTGATATGATTTATAATTTATATATATATAACATATACACGTTATATAATTGGGTGGTATAGTCACGTGGACTTTGTAAGAAAAACAAATCATCTTTTGAGAGAGAAAAATGATATGGCCTTACAAGAAAAGAAGTGTTCATACTTTGATCCTTAAAGCCAATCCCTGTAGCATTCAACCTAAGATGGAAGCATCCTAAGTATTTCAGTTTTCAAAGGAAATGATGTGCATGTGGTGGTTTGTTTATTTCATTCTGTGTAGCCTGGAGAATTAGCAAGAACACAGTTGTACTTCATGAGCTCTTGGCTACCATCTTTTCCAGATCAGTCTTACCATTAGGTCCGTATACTCAGCTAGTTTTGTATCGTCAACTGTCTTGTTTGCTTTTTCTAGCAGATCCTTTAGAAAGTTCTGTTAAGACAAAGAACACCCAGATAAATTTCATTGATAATATGTCTGCTTTTGTTTTAGCATTCCTTGAAATAGAACATACTAGGAATGCAAAGAAAGCTTCTTTTTGAGGGTAGAGGCAGATAAAGAGAGAACCTTAGAAGCCAGACTGAACCACATGGTCCTTGTATCATTTCGTTGATGAAACTGCCTTTGATAGATTCAACATCTGCTTTTTATTGAGACCAGATCTGTTGCAGTCCTTAGCTATATCACGTATTGAGGATTTCAATTATAGTAGAATCTGGATTGTGAACTGTTAGGAATGTGAATTAAAACTAAAAACCAGCCAACCCAAAGGATGCCTTTCTGCTTAATGATATCTTCACAAGTATTCATATGACTTTTTTGTAAGAAATCTGAGGGCTTTTCTCTATACTTCTGTAAGATGTGAAAAATTACCAGCAAACCAGATGGAGTTCTACCTCTAATTTCAAATTCATGTTCTGCCCTCACAGGCTGTATTTAAAGATCAGTTTATAGCTATTACGAGGTTTGTTTCTCCAGAGGGCTAATTGGTTAGATTTCAGTCTTGATGTAATTCAAAGAACCTTAGTCAACATGCTTTAGCTGAATGTACAAACTAAAACAGTTGGTCATAAATGATGGCATCTAATCCTTGAAGGTTGTATGAATCATATTAAGAGATTAATGTGGGAAGGATGAATAAAGATGATTAACCATCAAGTTGAATCTTAGGGTGAGTTCATTATTTTTTTTAACAAATATAAGTCAAATAAAAGCTTTATAAAGGCTTGCCATATAAATAACAATGTAAGTCCTTAAGCATATAAAGTCTTTCATCTTATCTTGTGTTAATCATTAGCAACTTTTTATTTGCTCAGGAAATGAATTAATGCAATATGGAAACTGAGTAGATCCTGCGCTGAGATATTATTGGAGAACTGGGTTTCTTTGAGTCAGCAGTGGTTTATCTCCCTCCAAAATGAACAGTTCTGCTGGGCTGATTTGACTTCAGTCTCTTCTGGAAGGAAACCTTTTTCTTGGCTTGATAAATTTATTTTCATTTCAAACATTCTGTTTCATATCCAAAGAGAGGCATGGAAAATTCACAGATATCTGGTGGGGGTGAATTTTATTTTTGAGACTTCTGAGACTTTTGTCAAAGATTAATTGGGTTAAAAAGCCTCATCAGAGACTAAAATGGTGGTCACAAAAATAGCCTGGGAGAAACCTTGGAACGCTAAGATTCAAAGTCATGTCTGAGAGCAAGCGATGTTTTATTCTATTATGGATCTTAAAATTAGCTTTCTTGAAAGATCCATTAAAAAAGAATGCCAACTTATCTTCAAAATTCCCCAGGGAGCAGGACTTCTATTTAGAATCTCTTTCTGAGAATAAAATTTAGAACAAAGAAGGAGACTTTCAGAATATTTTGAGGTCAGTATTGGAAATGTGCTAAGCTTTTCATTATGAACTGAGGTGATTTTTAAAAGAATTTTTTTTAATCTAATGGAAAAAAGACACAATAGCTGCACTTATTACCTTGTGGGCTCTAGATTCAGAGCCCCAAGAGTGTAAAATACATCATTTTTCAGCAACTTCACATTTCTAGAGGTTACTGTTGAATATGTTTTGGCAATTTTGCAATGGCACAAAAGTTCCAGTTCCATCTCTAAAATTATTTGTTCTTTAAACCCATGTTGAACTATGACTAGGAAACTATTTGATACTTGTATTTTCCCACATAGCATCAGCAGAAGTAGCTCAATGAATGAAGCTTGAAGGCATGTGGTTTTATAGGAAAAAGGCATTATTAATATTTGGACCTAGATATGCTAGGTCCAAACCTGTGTTCCATTCCTAGGCAGCTGTGCAATCTTGAAAAAATATCCAATTGCTCTGAACTTCAGTCTCTCTATACATCAGGAATAATGAATAAGAAAACTGCCTTGCAAGTTTTCTCTGAGGATTAAATGTTAAAATACATTTCAAGCACATAGTACTGTGCCTACCACATAGAAGGTGTATATTCAAGTGATCAGTAAATATTAACTTTGCTCCCCTTTCGGTCTCTCTGAATTAAGAATATAGAATCTTTCAGATCATAACATTCTAAGGTTGATTTGAGAAAATGTGATAAAAGATTTGTCCACATTTCTGAAAGGCTAGTAAATTGAGTTCGTGTATAATACGATTTATTATGTCTTACATTTCACAGAATCTTTCACATATGACATCTTATTTGAGGTTTGCAATACATCTGAGGGGAAGGTATTATTACCCCAATTTTAAAGATGAAAAACATTAAATAGAACCAGGGACCAATTTGCCCCAAGGTAAGACTTGATTTCAGATTTCTTTTCCATTATATCCAACTCCCACACCACCTCCTCAGTCCCTCTGTGGGATATGAATTGATAAATTCACTTTCAAAGTTGCAATTTTCACAAGTTCAATTCTATTAGGATTTTGTTGATGTTGTTGAGAGGCAGTAGGTTGTATGTCTACGGGCTTTGAAGGTAGACAAGTCTGGGTATAAACACTTCAGTCCTGTGTCTTTTTACCATGTGGTCTGCAGTAGATCACTTCTTGGAAGCCTTTTGTTACTGTGGTAATATTAATCTTGAAACACATGCAAAACTTAAATAAGACAATGTGTATAAACTAGTTGGCATTGAAATCGGTGTCCCGTAATTTGTCTTTGTCTTTTTTTTGAAATAGAAATCTATTTATATAAGTGTTTATTTTATTAAATAAAATTTCCAATTTCAATGGAAATGGGATATCTTTTTCACCTTGTACATAGTTCTATCTATCTATGTCTGTCTGCCTTATATAATAATTTATGTACACCCCAGAAATGCTAATTTCTCGCTTTGCTGAACAGAATTTCAAGAAGCACTTGAAGTCTCTTTTTTGATATGGTATTTCATTAATGATATGGAAGAGTGGGTGAAAATGTGCCATTGCTCAACATTGGTTTCTTTTGTAGGAGGTTTTTTAAAAAAGCTATGAAGCCCTTAGCAATTCATAATTGCATTTGAAAGGAAAAAGCTTAGCCTAAGTTTTGATTTGCTTACCTTAAGCTCCTCGGTTTCTATGAAGCCACTGTGATCAGTATCATATTTTCTCCATGTCTGTAATTTTGGATAAGAAAAACAAAATTAAAAGAAGAAAGTTGACAATTTTTGCACATTTAGCAGCTTTCTTAAAGTAACATCTTTCTTCTACCTTCATGAATTCCTCGCAGGACTTCAGCTGCTGGCATCGGAAGAGTAGCAGGAAATTTTCTTCTGTGGGTAATACGTGAGCCAACTGGAAAAGATTTAAAAGAACGGAAACACTGTGGTAAAGAGCTTGAAAACAAATCTCTGCTATCACCTGCTGCTTGGTTTGGCTTCAACATGTTCCTAAGAAGCAGTTTTTTTGCTCAGAGAAGCAGGAGAGGAAAAAACATGAGCTGATGTTCTCTTTCTGGTATTCTGCTCCTTCAAACTCTTTCGGGTTTTCTGTTGCTCATGTGCTCTTAAGTGCTTGGTTCTCCCGTCAGTGAAACAGCTGATGCAGGACCCTATCTTGTCTATGCACCTACAAGCAGAAGTACCCTGGCGGCTTGAACCCTTAGTATTCTGTGCTACGAACCAAGTCTCTTTCCTCTCCGGTTGCACAGATGGCACATTTGGCCATGAATTTCATGCGAAATGGAGGAAACAAGAATGTAGGGGAAAGGAGGGAATAAAAAAAAAAGGTGCATTTCCAAGTCGGAGGGAAACGTCTACTATGAGATGCAAGAGACGGTAAACTGAAGACAACTGTAAAGCTGCAGGAAGATAGGCTGAGAGACAATTCACAACTAGTGAGAAACCGAACAGTCATCAGAGAAGTCAAGTTGTTGGGTTCCGTGAAAAGGACATCTACTGCTTGAACCCAGGGCTTAGGTTAATTTTTGATCTTTACTGTCTAAGTCTATGACATTTCCCCTAGATTTCTATTCATAGCTTCAATACTTCTCCTCCCCACCTTTTTTTGGAGGGGGGAGAGGACTCTGGATCCCGTTTTAAGACTAATATAATCCATCTATTGCATACAGAGGAGGAGGGAGTTGGATTGATGGCGCCACTGCAGATGTGAATTCTATTTCTGGATTAGCTGCTAATGAGCTGTGGTCCCAGCAACTCCCTCAGCCATTTTTGGACCTCAGTACCCTCCCTCATCACTAAAATAAGTTGAAGAAGAAATTAATGTCTCTTAAATGTACTGGGTTCAAAACACCTTCTGTTGGACTCATTGTGTCTTCAACATTAAAGAATGAACCTACATACACTATACTTCACCTAATTTTTAGAAGTTGATTAATTCCCTGGGGCACAGATGTGAACCCCCATTCCTCCAGTGTAAAGCAAGAATCTGTCGTCTAGAGTAACTTTAAGGTTAGTATAAGTCCTAAAAATGTTACCATATTAGATTATCACACCTATTTTTTAAAAAGTGTCATCATCTTAGGTTTGTTTAAAATTTAATTCAAAACAACATTTTAACTTAAATGCAAGCAATCTCATCTTCCTATGCCTGCATAATATGTCCTGTAAATTATCTTGTTTTAGATCTTTGAAATAATACTGCAAGTAAAAACTTTAGTTTTTGGTCATACATGTGGGGGTAAGACTAAGGCAAAGGACCAAATATCTTATTAGGATGTTTAGTAAGACTCAGTTCAGAAAACATCTTATTTTAAAGCAAAGGTCATGAGTGTGGGTAGATACTAATAAATCTAAAAAGTAGAAATAGGAGTTTAGGATTTGCAGTAATTTTTTAAAAACCTAGTGAGCTTTTTGTCCCAAAACACATATACACTGCTGGGTGTGTATATGTGTGTGTCTGTGTGTGTGAGAGAGAGATATCGAGAGAGATCCAGATCTCTTAATACATTCAGGACTCTTCTATGGCTTTTGATTTCTCTGAATTCTTAAATCATAGAATTATATAATTCAGAAATGATGCAATTCAATTTAATTTAAAGCCCCAATTTTTGAGTTGAGGATGCTAAAACCCAAGAGATTGAATAATTTGGTGATTGGAAGACTTTGAAAAATCATTTTAATTTGCTGCTTATTAGAAAGTTAAGTCAGCAGCATGCTTCTTAAAGACAGAAATAAGATAGGTTGTTTCTTCAATCTTACAATGCAAATATGGCTAATTTTTACATATGACAAGATAGTCTGGATATGATATGGATATTTTTTCATTTCACTGAAAACTAGAACACTATTTTCTTTATAACATCCCCTTTCCACTTCTTCTGTGAGTGGGTTGCTAGTGGAAATCGAACCATCTCAGGTTCATAAATTAAAGTTCATGTAACTCATAGAAAGTTTAGAGGTCTCTAGAATGTCAAACATAAAGAGGGTCAAATTGTTAGTCATGTCTAAGGTCAATGTGTATTCCTTGGCTCATGCTGTTTTGTTCTTTAATGATTAAAAATGAAAGATTGTATCTATATGTGACATATTCATTCTTTCTCATTTTGCTGAACTACTAATGATATACTCAACACAGTACTGCCCTATTTTACAAACATTGGAAATGAATCTTAAACATGTAAATTATTGTTATAAGACAAACCAGTCATTAAAGATCAATGAATATATATGGATAGGAAGAATGTGGCTGTAGTAAACATAAATCCTTTTTACTGTGTGGTTTAACATTGTGGTGGTCCTGTGTTGTAATTGATCCTTCAGAGTGGGTAGAGTAATTTTCCAGCTGCAAAATCTAAGACCACATCAATATGGGTCTTCATAGACTGTATTAAGTAGGGCTGCATTATTCTTGGATTTGCCATGTCACTGTTGTCCATAGAAGTAACCAGTACTGCCTATTCTAAGATGCTGGTAATTTCTAGTCCTTAGCCATTACCAAACTTTTTTTATTGGTTGCAGAAGATAGTGGAGAATATCAAGAGGATGAATGGAAAGAGGATCCCTGTAGACACAAACAGAATCCCTCAGATCTTCACTTGTGAGAATTGTCTGCTACTGAGACGGGGGAAGTAAAACTTTCTATTTATCTATGTTTTACTTACTGAGTTTTTTTGCTCAGCAACTGCACAAATTTCAGTAAATATTTATTGATGCAGTTAATGAAGGCAATGGACTTTTCTAGTGTCAGGATAGGCTATAAGTAAATGGAAGTAAAATTCCATGGGAGATAATTCAAATAACTTATTATTGATCTGTGGGTAAGGGTTGGAGTAGACGTTATGATATGCTACCCAGAGCTCCTTCAGGTTCTGGAGTATGCTGTGACCTCAGCTATCAGGCTCCTTTGAGGAAATGCCTGGGCTGACGACAGTTGTGACCCCAAGAGGTGGCTTCCCATTACAAACCCACGCAGGAATATAAAGGCCTGAATTTCTCATTCAACTTGGGAAATCTCCGAAGGGTCACCCCTGCTTCAGAGCTCACTGTAAGGTTAGCCAAAGCCTCCGTTAGGATGTCATTTCCCAGCATCTGCTTTTGTCCAGTCCTGTTCTCTTTATGCAGGAAATGATCTCAAAGCACTTCCTAATCACCCTCTTCAATATTTCTCTCCCACTCAAATCTGCTTTCCAGGAAACTCAATAACTTTACATCTTGTTCTTTTTCTGGAATAGTATGGAGTCCTTGTCTTAAGTTTTGGAGTTGATGTAAATCTCTCTCTGTGGTTCATTTGGCTACTAAATACTAGGTCACTCTGTTACTAGCTGGTGATTCATAGTCACCATATTAAGAATCTTACAGGGAGACAGATGACTTCAACCAAATATTTTTTTCTTAACAATTTCAAGCAGGAGATAGATAAAATGATAAAGTGCTTAAGTGCTAGGTGTGAGAAGAGTTCACATGATGGGAATTTAATTAGAGATATAAATGACTGAGATACATAAAGTATATGAAGCACAATTCCTAACTTCTAAAGACAATCCTGGTGTATGTTCACCTTCTTGAGCCCATTAGCCATGCATTCCCTTTTTCATTTGAGAACAAGGGTAACATTATCCTAGCCAATAAGAAGTGAGTTCAGAAAACTTGCAAGGCAAATGATCTCATACATTTCAGGCTACTTGAGTCTAATGATTTGAATTTGACAAGTTATATAACAAAGTGGTGGGAAAGACTTGATATTCAGAATATGTAAATTTTCTAATAAGTTTTTTTTACATTTAATAATAATAACAAACATTTATTAAGTTTTTACAATGGGCCAGGATTGATCTATTTGTTTGATGTATACTATCAGATTTAATGTTATTACTCAAAACAACTTTATGAAATTAATACATAGTTCTCTCTATTTAGAGCTCAGAAAATAGAGGCTCAGAGAGGATAAATAGCCTGTTCTTACTTAACTTGTAGTTTGAGCCACATTTGAAGTCAGTTTGACTTTCTCGATTTTGAGATCCTTGTCCCTTACAAGCTTCCTTATCCTCCATTTAAATGTTCAATCAAAAATGTTTTCCTAATAAATTATTTTTAAAAATCTATTCAGAGCAAAATTTTGAGTCAAATTTTATTGTCAGTCATTTACAAAAATTATAAGGTGGATAGATAAGTAGTCTGCTGTGAAATACTATATTCATCCTGCCTAAACTTATATGCACAAATCCCACTGTGGAAAGAAAGAAAAAATTCGCAAGAGAAGTGCCTGTTTTCCTGGGAGGGTTGTTACACTTTTAGGATTAAAATAGCTTTTAGATCTATTTTTTTCAGTGGATGCACTGACCTGAACAGATAAAAATACTAAGACTGGAGAAGATGGTAGGGTCCCATACATTGCCCAAGGGATCAGAAAAAAGCTTACAGATATGACATCCAGCTAAAGAAAATAAGTATACTTCTGTGAATCCCAGAAAAGAAAATTCTGTCCCCTTCAAATCATTCAGTCTCCTTATTTAATTATTTTAATTAGTTTTCTTTGCAATAGACTTACTAGTTTGCATACACTTAGAACATTTTTTAATTGTGGTATTTGTTAAATTATTTCAGAATTTTAATGCTTCTGTTTTGAATTCATATTAAAAATCTTGTTATTACTGAACTGAATTTGTATGAATTTTAAAATCCATTTAAATACATGAAATTATTCATGTATTCATGTTCAGAAAAAAGTCATTTGTGCACATTACTTTTTACACATTACATTTGGAAAGATGGGGGATTCATATTCTTTTAAAATTGGTTAGGATTTGTGTCTTTGTGTTCCATATTACATGTAGGATTTCTAAGCAAGTAATATATTTGGAGTTGGATAAAGAAAGGATGAGCATCATTTAACACAACTTTCTGGTGACACCAGAGGTCACACAGTAAGTTCAGGCATTCTCTGCTTTCTTTTCCTCAGTTTGTTCATGTTATCTGTAACTTTCAATTTCTTTTTTTTCCAGCTTTTTTTCCGAACTGCTCTTTACTGCTTGTTAATCTCTCTAAGCAATGTGCCTATGAACTACCATGGCAATCTCCTCTCTGTTCTCCCATTCCTTCATTTTCTCATCTCCAATGAATCCTACCCCTCCTGCTCCCACATCCATATCCACATTCCTCCTATGTCTTTCACTGGTAACTCAAGTACATGAAAAGAATTGTGGGGTTAAAGTCAGATCTAGGTCTGGATACAGGTTTTGTCATTCCCTGTTAGTGGGCTGTTGGGCACATCATTTAACTTTCTGAGCTTCAATTGCTTCATTCTGAAAATGAGGAATTTGGCTATTTCTTCTCAAGGATCCTATCTAGCAAAAAGTGCCATGTCCCAGAACACTAAAATCTTGTAACAAATTCTTACATGTCTCACTTCTCTTCTTTGAATTCTTTCTGTTTTAACTGATCTGCCCAAATCAAGTTTCAGATTCTTGGGCCAAATAACGTCTCTATATAGTCCCTGATTCAGGATGGTTCAACTCAACAATTTTTCAACTTTACAATGGTGCAAAGCAGTATACATTCAGTAAAAATTGTACATCAAAATCTCAGCTTTGAGTTGTGCTTATTATTATTTTTTTGACAATATGTGAAATATGACAATATGTCAAAACACTTTCTATTGTCGTGTACAACTAATTAGAACAAATGAAAAAATTCCATCACTCTGGAAAAAAAATTAACTTTTATATTTTCCTGGAATAAAAATATACAGTAGAATATTCTCTTTAAAACTGGGCAGTAGCAGCAAGCTGTAGCTCTCTGTCAGCCACACAGTCATGAGAGTCTGCAACTCTATTCCACAATGTTCTCTGTTGCTAAGCTATGATGTTCTGTAGGCAAAGTGTATTAATAATGCATTTTTTACTTATGCTGCTTTCAGCTTCCAATGGGTTTAATCAAGATGTAACCTCAATGTGGAAAAAAGGAATTTTAATTTGTGTAACATTATACAGTTTATAAAGTTTTCAAATAAGTTCTTTTATTTGACCTCATAACAATAAAATAAAGTCTAAATATAATAGGAGAATCTATTTTTTAGCCCGGGAACTCGAACCTGAATAGTTTCTTATCTTAATCATTTGGAGAAATATATCACCAAATATCCAAGACAATCTGCATCTGCTAAGTGACCTGTTGCTTCTCATCCATATTAGAATGAAAATAATAAGGCATAAATAGTTAAACTACATCACAAATACTAACAGCTGGATTCAAAACAAATTCATCTATTTTTTCATTTTAAAAGTATAAAATTCATGTGAATAAGATTGATGTTTTTTACTATACAACCTAGCATAACCAAAGAAGTGAGAGAGAATAAATAGATAGATCCACTGAAGTCCTTCAAGGTGTAACACATAGCATATAAGATGGCAGTCTTCCCTCTACTACAATTATAGAGTATGCCAAATTCTGAAATAACTAATCTAGACTTTCACTGATGTCAGATTCTGAAAGCTAGTTTTGAATAATTTGATTTACCTGTTCTCATTTATGTTCATTTTAAAGTTATTTTATTACTCTTGATGATTTTATATCTTGATTAATTGGCCTCTATCTCAATCTGTAAGTCTCATTACTAATATCTATTTATATAGTAATGAGTTATACATAGGCAAAGGGAAAAGGGTATACTCCAGGGAAATTTTTTAATTGCAAAGATAATAATAGTATGCCCTCCCTTAACTCTATTTGTACTAGCTGTTTAAAATTAAGTGTATTTCACACCAGCACCACAGTGTCCTAATAAGATCAATTATTTGAAAACCAGGTTAGTTCTCTGAATCAAAGGTAAGTTATAACTAAAAGTTGTCGAAAGCCAGAACACCTGTCAATCTAATGCACTGAGAACACTCTATGAAAGCATTATTATACTTGGGATTTGTCATAGTTTAAAATATGACCTTATTACTTTTTTTCTGGAAAACACTTTCCATTCAACTGCTTTAAGCTTACAGAGATAGACAGAAGCTGCTGCACCACCAGTTTGGAAAAGTAGAAATAAGGGAAGCAACAGTGTTCCCTCCCCACTCCCCATAAATCTGAGAATATAAAATTGGATGCATCCTCAGTTTTGCTTCCTTGATTCACAAAGTAAGTTGTCCTCAACTGGAAAAGAAAGGATATGACACTCACAGTTTCAACTTTTAGAGACACAAAAGGAATATTTACCTATAACATAGCATGAAATATTCACTTACTTTTTTTGAGTTCTTGAGTTTTACTGAGGCCATCATCCAATCAAAAATAGAATTTCAGAAATCAGGATGCAGCTTTTTGCCACATTTTTATGGCAACTGCAAACATTTAATTTTAAATTTCAACAGAAAAGTCTACACGGTTAAATGATCGTATGTACCAATGAAGCAGTTGAAGTGAGGGCGGGTGGTGTTATGTGATGAGCACTCACCCAGAAGTCGGGCACTCCTCTTCTAACTGCACTGGTGCCAGCAAACAGCTGCGTGACCAGATGCTAACCATTTCACTTCTTGAGGGTCTCAGCTTTGCAATATATTATACTGAGGCTCTGGATTAGGTAACTCTTAGGTTTCTTTCCTTTCTAAATATTTAAAAATTTCATATGTTCTGAACAGAAGATTATATATTACTTAGGTAAAATAGGCTTCTCTGAATGAGTCTTGTCATATCATGTCTGACTTGAATATAACTTAAAAAAATGAAGCTCATTTATTAAATCAGAAAAAATGCATATGTTCCTTACCTCTACAATTCCTATTTTTCCATCATCTCTTTGCGCATACTGATCCACAAAAGTTTTCATCTCAGGCGATAACTCCTAAAATGATATGAAAGCAGGTATGAAGTTTGTAATACAAAACAAAACAAAACAATTATGCTTGTGATGGTGTTGATCTATTTTTATAAAAAGCCAAAATGGGAACCATTTAGAATTATGCATGTTGATAAATGATTGTCATGAAAATTAATTAGTAATTAATATAGTATTTGTTAGTTTCAAATTAAATATTTATGATAATTTTTGTATCAGTCACTAGAATTTATCTTCAATTATTAGTTTTGAGAATATGCTATCCTTTGAAAATAATCAGAATTACTCATTATTATTCACTTTAGTTAATTTAAATAGAATCATAGTTATTAATACACTTTAAATATTACTTGTTTCATTAAAGATTATTTTATATTCTGCACTATTTGTCCTATAACATTTTCCTTATGCTAGCATAATGTATTATGTATGGTAGTACTATGTGTTTTTGGTTTGGCTAAGCAAAAAAAAAAGTGAATGTTGAAGAGTAATTTACTTGGTGAGCAAGAAATGTTCCCAGAATGAAACAGCTATTCATTGATTAAATAAATTTAAAAATTAATATTGGGGGAAAAATATGAAATGAAAAAAATGATTTGATCAATTTGAACTTTCATTAAGAGATAGACAATATTGATGACCTTATTTTTGGTGAACTTATTTTAGACTGTGGATTGTATGCTTATGATATTTGCCTCCAACAGTAATTAAGGAAGAAGTTTTTAGTGTTTCCACTTCATCCAAGATGATATCCTCTTCCCCATGTATTGTAGTACAACAAAACAAGCTTAAGAGTGACAGAAGTTAATGCTGTCTTGTCTATTTTTTCAATATAGTCTATTGCTTTTATAATCTCTTTTGATATTGAGAGATTAGAGAATTCTGAACTAAAAGCTGTGATCTGAACATACAGCTATTATTCAGGAAGTTTCATTTTTTACCCTTGGGTTTCAACAAGCCATTTAAAATAGCCCTGTTGCATTAACTGAAGCCTATTTAAAATAGGTCAGCCCTTACTAATATTCTACATCCTTCTGAAAGCAAATTAAGGTCTCAATTTTCATCATAACTGACAACACAATGGTCACCTACCACACAGGTTTGTTCTAGGCATAGATAAGTTAATGTAATTTAAAGGCTATATTGAGACTAAATATCACTGCTTGTATTTACAAAATCCTTTTGATATCAATGCAAATATCTTTAGTTGAACTAAGGTAATAAATAGTAACAAAACAATTTAATTATATTGTAGTCTGATAAGAACTCTTCTACTGTGGGTAAATTACCATTTGCATTTATTAAATTTTGTTAGAAGAACAACTACAAGAAAATAAAATGATATCCCCATGGCAACGGAGGAATACCAGTCCCTATATTTTTCACACAAATCTTAAAGTAAAACCAATGCATTCATTCTTAAATTTTACAACTACATAAAACTACTAGTTTAACCGGAACACTTGATATTTAGTTGTGAAGCTTCTGGTGACAGTTGTGCTAAAATCTATTTTTTAAACTGTAAAATATATAATGATCATTAAAGATTTATAAAGAGGAGTACAAATTTAAAGACAAAACAATATGTTTAGTGTAAAAGGGTATAGTTTCAGAAATATATTGGACTACCATCTTTCATTTATGTTATATTCACTTGGTAAAATCTTTTGAAGTTTCTAGAAAAATACTCAAGAACCAAGGTATTAAATAAATTGACATAATCATTTATCTCTGCTCAAGTTGAATATTTTTGAAATAAAATCTAATAATTGGATCTTCATACATTCCAGACTTAAGAGTATAGGCAGTAGAAAAAAATAATGAAGCTATAAACTCTTTAAAACTCCAATATGAACATACTGTTTACAAAAAAGTTCAAATTTTAAAATGGGAGGAGGAAAGGAAATATTGGAAAAACCGTACAAAGCTCTTGAATATTTGAATATCTAAGATGAAAATAAATTTCAATATTAAAATTACTTCTGGAAATATTATAGTCATTTAGTTGTTGGAAGCATCTTTCAAAATTTTAATTCAAAATTTTATGAAAAGTAAGACTTTTTCAACCAGGAATTCCCCCCCTCTCTCCCCACTCCC